CAAAATATCTGTATTAAAAATTACGAAGTAAATCTTAAACACTTATTTCCTCGAAAAAAATCACGAAAAGATTAAGCACGATTTAATTCGCAATAATAAATGAAGGCGTTATTTTTGTTGTTTCGAAGCTACGTTTCTCTAGATTGGCAACAAATCCACTATTCTGCTGTTTCAAATGTAAACAATCAATAGCCGCCATAAAAAAGGCTTAGCGGCACTTAAACAACTTTAAAATTGTTGATAATTCTAAAAATATTGCTTACAGATTTACTAAAGGCATAAAAACCTTAACCGTAAGATAAGAACAACATAATTCAATGATTTTGAAAGCAAAAAATATGCAATTTACAAACATATAAAAGTAAAGAAACTGAGATCACTGAGCCGGGTAACAGAGTGAATATATATATAAATATATTTATATACGTTTGGTGCGGTAGATTGCAACCAAAATACGAGGTGCACATCTGCATGTTATAGTAGTACCATATACAAAATTTCAACGTTCTAAGGCTACTCGCTTTTGAGTTATGCGAGATACGCACGTACGTACATACGTTCGTACAGACGCCACGAAAAATTCTCTTCAGAATTCATTTTAAAGCAGTTTTATAATTTTTTTGCAGGAAAAGAGTCTTATATTCTATCTTAACGTACAGATATCCCGCAAAAACATCGTTAAATTGCATTCGAAAGCGGTCAAAATGGATATTTTCGTTGAAATATGCTGCCTGAAACTTTTCACGATTACAATACTTCCTTTTTACTTCGTACAAGGATGTAAAAAATGAATACATTAGGAGCGATGAAATAAAAATAGTATGTTAACATTATATAATTGGTTGCGTAGGTCGTACCCCGTACGAAAAGTAGATATAAATCGTAGGTTCTATGAAAAACATTTTTAAATATTGTAATAATATTTTGGGTTGTTGGTGCTTATATTCATTATAGTAAAATTCCATACAGTCTACTCTCTTGCATAAAATTAATAAATTTCAGAATGTAAATGAGATAGCGAACGTTTATTCAGATTGGGGGAGAAAGAAGTGCCGTGCCATTTAAAAAAAGGTTTTGCAAGTTGATTTTAGAGCGTGTTCTGCCTATTTGAGACCACGTTGTTACTTTAAATTAATAGCGATTTTATTCTGCAGCGTTGAGTACTTCTAGCCATCAGGCTTCTCTCGCCGTTTTTTTTTGCAAACCAGAGCTTTTCCTGAGCGTTACTTTATCCTGGGTGTCGTCAGGATAATCTATTACATTTGATTTTAGCTCAACATTACGTATTTACAAACTAACTGTTGGCTTGTGTAAACCCAATTTCGGTCATTGTTACATTTTGTGTTCAAATAAAAGGGCCTTACACATCCTTCTTCTGACTTTTGCTTTTGTAATCGCAAGACTAGAAGATAAATCTTCTATAGTCTCTTTTAAATCTGTAGTTTATGTTTCCTAAGAATAACAGACTTTAAAAACTATATTTTAATTTGCATTCAAACTGGTTACTAATTCAGAAGTCAAACAACAAAAATCAGCGTTATAATTCCAAATTTTCACAGGACTAGTTTCGATGGTTTTACCGAACCACCATCCTCAGCTGCAAAAGCACAAATGAACGAGATGCAAAAAGAAAACAGAAAGAGCCTTCTATATCTTTCTGTTCTAGTTAAGGATCCTAATTCCAATCCATCTTTGCCTTCGGCCTTTAAAGAAATTATGTTTTAGTTCTGGTTTCATCAACAGATGGCGCCACTAGCTTATTTTCTCTACAGGTTTTCTTATCTTATCTAATCATTATATCCTATCTCGTTCATTTGCGCTTTTGCAGCTGAGGATGGTGGTTCGATAAAACCATCGAAATTAGTCCTGTGAAAATTTGAAAATATAACGCTGATTTTTGTTGTTTGACTTCTGAATTAGTTTTTGTTCGGCGTGTTATTAGGTCTTAATTATTGTTTAAGTTATTAGGTCTTAATTATTGTTCTTAGGTCTTAATTTTGTTAATTGTTTAAGTACCATATATAGCTTGATTCGTACTACGTTTGGGAATTGGAAAATTATAATAAAATTCTTATACTAAGGTAAATTATTTATATAATTAATTACGACAATAATCACTGAGATGTTTATCCTTTTCTTGTCAACAGGGAGATGAAAATGATGTAAAACAATATGGTTGATTAGAGGGTAACTCATTTTTCTTACGAACCGCAGATGGTGTGATATTAGGCCTAATATTTAAAAGGTACACTGCGCAAAAAAAAAGGGGGGAGAGTTCTATATCTCCCGTTCTACTCGAGCCGATTGACAAAACTCATATTTCAATTCTACGACTCAAATTACGCCAAACTGCCAAGTTCTGTAAACATCACACGAGTAATTTTTAAAAAATTACCTCTAAAATTTTACCTCCTCCATGTTAATTGAGTTTAATATATATATATTGATTATTATCTCTTTTTTTTATTAAATTCAGTTGATTCTTCCTTTCACATTTCAAAATTAACATTAATTTCAAATAACATTCGCACATTTTTTAGGATTTATTTTTAAAATTTGTATTTTTAAATAACTTTTATAAATGATTCGAGAAACATTTTGAAACATAATCTATAAAAATGTTACCATAATCTTAAAGTAGATGTATTTCTAAGCACACCTGCAAAAAAATTACAGTATTTTATTCAAAATTTCCGAAGATATACGTAAATTTATATATTGGCGCGTTTCGAAATTTAGCATATCTGTTGAAAGCGATAATAACATAAAATGTGGTTTAGGCACTTTGTTAAAATTATTTGAAAATAGGAATGCTGGGCCATTTTTTCCGCTCATGCACAATAAAGAAAGGAAACTTTTTTCCGCTCCTGCGCAGTGAAGGGGAAAGGAAAATAGGTTGCCATATATTAAGAAGTTCGCCAAGTAAATTATTTTTGGAGCACACTGAAAAAAAATTCGCCAAGATAAATTTTTGAATTTCTCCGTAAATTTCGCACCAAATTTTACAAAATTTAATATATAGGCAGAGTTTGAGTCGTAGAATCGAAATAGGAAAAAGGATTGGCATGTTATTTCATAAAAAGTCCAACTTTGTGTCAAAATAGCTATATTAGAACAATGCTATATATAAATCTAATACATATCCTAAGTCGGGCTTTCGAGACATGGAACACGCGATTTGAATTTCTTTAATCGGCATAGTAGACGGGGGAGATATAGAACTAACTGCCCGCCCTTTTTATTTCCTTGTAAGAAGTAAAAAGGAAGTATTGTAATCGCGAAAAGTTTCAGGCAGCATATTTCAACGAAAATATTCATTTTGACCGCTTTCGAATGCAATTTAACGATGTTTTTGCGTGATATCTGTACGTAAGGACAGAATAAAAGACTCTTTTCCTCCAAAAAAATTATAAAAATGTTTTAAAATGAATTTTGAAGGGAATTTTTCGTGGCGTCTGTACGAACGTATGTACGTACATACGTACGTATCTCGCATACCTCAAAAACGAGTAGCCTCAGAACGTTGAATTTTGTATATAGGACTGCTTTAACATGTAGATGTGCACCTCGTATTTTGGTTGCAATCGGCCGCGCTAAACGTATATAAATATATTTATATTTATTTCCACTTTGTTACCCCGCTCAGTGATCTCAGTTTCTTTACTCTTATATGTTTGTAAATTGTACATTTTTTGTTTTAAAAATAATTGAATTATGTTGTTCTTATCTTCAGCTTAAGGTTTTTATGCCTTTAGTAAATCTGTATGCAATATTTTTAGAATTATCAACAATTTTAAAGTTGTTTAAGTGCCCCTAAGCCTTTTTTATGGCGGCCATTGATTGTTTACATTTGAAACAGCAGAGTAGTGGATTTGTTGTCAATCTAGAGAAACGTAGCTTCGCAACAACAAAAATAACGCCTTCATTTTTATTACGAATTAAATCATGCTTAATCCTTTCTGGAATTTTTTCGAGGAAATAAATGTTTAAGGTTTATTTCGTAATTTTTTATACAGATATTTTGAGTTTTTATGTAGTTTTGCCTTCTCGCGAAGTGAAAACTGAACTAATTGAATGAGAAATGCTCAATCGTCTGTGAAAAACTGTTTCTTTTTTGTTTTGTTTACTTAATTTCTTCGATACATAATTCTAGCTTTATAGTACTTGTATAGAACATGTGGCAACGATTAGATAATTCTTTAAATGTTATAAATTTTGTGCATTCTGAGTTATAATATGAACGAAATATAATACTGTTAAATAAACCTAGCGCCAGCGTGTCGCTGTGGTAAACAAATAGATTGAATTTTAAAGAATGCATTTATTCTATTTTGGTTTATGCGCTGTCAGCGAAGTAGTTTTAATTCAATGCAATAATTTTAAATGAAATGCAATAAAAAATGCGTATAATTTAATTTTCCGTACAAGGAAGTCACGAGGTGTACACATCAGATTTTTTTCTCGCAGTGTACCACTTAGGCGATGGTACGACTTTTGCAACCTTACCCTAGTACCTATCTGCTCATGAACAAGAAAGTTGAATTTCATTCGCAATTAAAGGTTCGATTGAAAGATGCACCTGATAAGATAAAACTGACTTCCTTACTATCTCGATATTATCGTTTTGCATTGTTTGTTGTGAGGCAATAACCAATTTTGATTCAGTAATTGTATACAATAAAACAATTTTTCTAACATCACATTCTTCATGAATTCCCTCTGTCTAATGTAATTTGTCAGGATATTTATGAAAATCGCAATGTTTTGAATGACTTTCATATGATCATTTTGTATGATTTTCTTCACTAATGGTTGCGTTTCGTATATCTACCTAAGAGATGTATTTTGGTACAACCATTTTCCGTTATTGAATAAACTGTTTGTAAAAGATAAATTATCCTCCGTGGTCGCAACACTTTGCCAGATTTGCTCTCTATTTACAGCTGTTAAATCCCCCTCTCATCGGAACTCACGTGGTGTTCGAAGATATCTGGCTGGCTGAGAACCTTTTTGGCAAAACATCAGGACATGAATGGCGGGCGAGTCGACGATTGCGGACATATTTACTTGCTCCGCAAATATTCGACATCCACCCCTAGGGGATATTCTCGTCTGTTGAAAATTACAGGTTAGTTAAGAATATTTGTTTTTGTCTCCACCAATTTGAAAGAAAAATACACAACTTGTTTCGCCTTAGGATGGCAAGCGGTCTTAATGCACTACGATTTCTATCTTTAAATGAGTTGATTCCTTTAACAAACTTGATGCTCGTTTCACTTAAAGGGCGAATGGTGACAGGTATTTGATTTCGCCAGGGATGCGATTCGTTGTTTTTAAACTTTAATTGCAAATATTCCGTTTGTGTACGTTTGAACGCATGCATGGAAATCAAATATCTGCTCGGATGGTGTTTTTATATGTTTTAGTTTTCGGAAGAAGATGAAATGATGTTTGTGTAATTACGAAGAGTTACATTTGATTAAACATACAGTTTCGATTTATAAATAAGACTAAATAACCCAGTCGGTTGAGATATTATTTGCTTTTATTTATATGGAAACATGTAAAGCAATATTAATAGAGTCGGAATTTTATCGTGGAGTGAATTGCTATGATTATTTTCGTAAATTCTGGCGGAGATTTTCTAAGACATGGTGAATAACAAATTTTTCTGACAGTGTAAATAAATCTCCCATTTTAGTGCTTTTTTCGATTATTTTAACATTTTTAAATTTAATTATTGAATCATTTTATGTTTTAATAGGTTTTATGATAATTTCATTACTGTTTTCGCAAATATACACTGCAAGAATTTCTTTTCTAAAGCTCTAGCTGAAATATTGAACTCGCAATTATCTTAAGTTTTCTGGGCTTATAGAATACAAGAAAAAGTCATTTTCCGAAATTTCATACAGCTGTTTTGATACTGAAAGATTATTTTTTAAGATCGTACTTCTCAATCGATACAAACATGCTTCTCAACAAAGAAAATATGTGCAAGTACAATATAATGTATAAATACATTATCCAATTAAATGGTAATTTTGCCCTAAAAAATGGTGTTGAACGCATTATCAGAATATGATTGGTATATAAATGTAATTTCAATTTTAAAAGTGTGTAAAATCTTAGTAACAAACTAGTTATATGTATGTGTTATGGTATCTAGCATACATCTCTCAACCCGAAATGTTAATCTGAATTCTCAGCAGCGAAATTATTAGCGTAAATCCCAGACCCATAATTTTTCCCGCATTCTGACTGCTCACCCAAAAGAACGCCTTGCAAATTTTGCTTTTTGTTCTCAGCCATTAAATTCCTGTCCTAATTATTATTGCGTTTACATGAGGATATGATCAGAACTAGATCAGGAATTAAGACACAAAAACATGCCGAATAAAAACTAATTCAGAAGTCAAACAACAAAAATCAGCGTTATATTTTCAAAATTTTCACAGGACTAGTTTCGATGGTTTTACCGAACCACCATCCTCAGCTGCAAAACCGCAAATGAACAAGATAGGACATTTTGCAGAAATTTAACTTTCGGGTTGTTTATTCTCCCATTAATAAAATTCCGAGTTCCATACTCAAGGACCCCATTCCGGATATGAATTCTTGGGGTATTTATATAATTCCTTGCCAGTGTGGTTTGATTTACATTTGCCAAACTAAGAGAGCCTTAAAATTTCGCGTCAAGGAACATATGTTAGAAAAAAGGAAACACAGAAGTCTTCTGTTGCTCAACCTTGTTGGTCCGAAAATCACACTTTCAATTTTTGTGCTGCCAAAATTATTCAAAAAACATCTTCCATTGGAAGAACTGGATTTTCTAGAGGCATTTCACATTCAAAAGAATCTTTCTGTTCTAATTAACGATCCTAATTCCAATCCATCGTTGCCTTTGGCCTTTAAAGAAATTATGTTTTAGGTCTGGTTTCACCGACAGATGGCGACACTTGCTTATTCTTGTCCAGGCTTTCTTATCTTATCTAATCATTATTTCCTATCTTGTTCATTTCCGGTTTTGCAGCTGAGGATGGTGGTTCGGCACAACCATCGAAACTAGTCCTGTGAAAATTTTGAAAATATAACGCTGACTTTTGTTGTTTGACGTCTGAATTAGTATTTATTCGGCGTGTTATTGTGTCTTAATTTCAGGATAGAACTATTTAAGGGAAAAAATGTCTTGATGGAGGAGGACTTTCTTTCCAGGGTGAATCTACCAGTGTTCAGGGACTATATCGTTCTAAAGCGCTTATTGCTGTCTGCATATTATCAGTCAAAATATCATATATATGCGTGTGTGTTTATATAACATAAAAATATGTAATTCAAATTTATAATTTTAATTAGGAAGAGTCCTTAATTCCCCCTCTGTATTCTAAAAATCGTAATAACTTTTCTGAACTGCACAATTTCTAAACCAATCCATCGTGTATGGATTACGTAACCCTCATAACGTAGTGTCTGTGTTTTTGATGCTATAATCCTGCATTTCTGACATTGTTTACTTCTGACTATACGGGCTGGACTGATAAAGGCACAGATAACTTTTTTGCAGGATTACTTTAAAATTTTAAATTTTAAATTTTAAAGTTAATTTTAAATTTTAAACTTACAGCTCCCAGCTGACTGTGCAGAGAAAGATGTAGATTTCCTTCTCGTTTTTGTGTTTGGCATATTTCTTGGAGTTTGCCACTAAGCTTCTATTGTTTCATTTATACATTTGGTGTTCCGAATAGGAGGAATTTTAATGTATTTTTTATTATTTTACTAATGCTTTATACAGTGCGTCCGTAAAGTCATGGTTCACTTTTGATCGGTCACAAGAAAGCAACAAAACAAGATAGAAATGTGAGGTCTTCACCAAACAAAAGAAAACCCCTTAAAGTTGCATACCTATTCAGTGTAGTTTGATGTGGCTCCATCCATGCCGTCGCAGTCTACTCAGCAGAGAAAAATGGTCCTATCACTTTATAATGCATCAGGCCACACCACGCGTTCACTTTAGGGCTGTTATGTTCTTACTCTACGTGGGCATGAGGATTTTCAGCAGCCCATATTCGGATGTTATAGCGACGAGCATGTTCACTAACAGGGAATGTCGCCTCATTGCTCAACACAATCTTCTGCAGAAATCGGTTATCATTGTGGACCTCGTGAATATATCTGTAGCAAATGCAAAAATTTTGGGTCTATCCGTCGGTTTGATAGTGTGCAACAGCTGCAATTTGTAAGAGCTTCTTAGGTAACTCTTCCATATAGTCTCTACAGACTCGTCACTGACCGATGGCCTGCCAAAATCGGGTTGATCCAACAAACTGCCGGTATCCTTCAACTGCTTATCCCACTGATTAATGTTATTTCTATGTGGTGACGGTTCGTTCTACACGCGACGATATTCACGTTGCTCTTTGGTCACGGATTCTAATTTGGCATGCCACAGAACACACTGAACTTTCCTCTGTACGGTTCACATCTCGACTGGCGTGGGCGTGGATGGGCTGATCTGCTCCTTCGCATTTCGCGGTGCTGCGTCACCACATGTGTGCGCACATGCTTGCACATAATACTACGGGAACTTGGAGAATTTTGCTTCTGTTTGGTGAAGATTTCCCATTTCTATCTTGTTTTGTTGCTTTCCTGTGACCGAATAAAAGTGCACATTGACTTTACGGACGCACTATACATCTGCATATATTTTAAAAATTAATTACAAGTTGATTATCTCGTAGGAAATGATAAGAAAATACTAATGCAATGGGATATTTTTAAAAGTGTAAAACTGAGTAAAGTTTATACTATGAGTAAAGTTTTTATGAGTAAAGTTTACATATACTGAGTAAAGTCTACACTTTACTCAGTATATGTAAGCATGTATATGTAAGAAAAATAAAGAACATGTAAAAGATTAAATTAGCAGCGTAAATTAATTTCCCGTCTCTATTCTACAAATAGCAACCTCTATTTGCACTGCGTCATTTCGAGAAAAATCTGTCATATGACTCTTACGTAATTATGCTGATGTAAATGGAACTAAAATTCAACCAGCCAATTGTAATTTTACATCAATATCAACTATCCAATCAAAATGCTTTGAGAACCAAAACTAACTCAGTTTGACTTAAGATTTCATCTTGAACATTACACACTTGCTTTCAATTCTTTGGCCTGGCCGCACAGTCTGTCTGCTCTTTCTTTCTTATTGCAAATTTATATAAAATGTAAAATTTCTTGGAACATGCACAATTAATGTGCCGACTTGTGTGTAGCCGTAATATATTACTAATACTTTATATTGTTATATACACTCATGTCCATAAATTAAGGATAATGAAAAATCAGGCAAAGGAAGAGTTAGAAGCAAAACAAATTTGACTTATTTGTAAAGCTTATTTATTAAACAAAAGGTAAAGAGCAAAAAAGATGCTATATGTTTGATTAAAAAAATTAGCGATTTTTTCTCCCTGGATCAAATTACAAAAAAAAATCTATTTACAAAAAACCAATAATACAGGATTGGTATGATTGTTAATACATTCTATGTCTCCCAGACGATGCAATAAAGTTCGTACAACGCCTAGGCATGCTGAGTATCAAATTATCGATGTGATCTTGGGGATATTACACCACTCAAAAAGCAATGCTCTCCAAAGTTCCGGTAGACATGTTGGAGAAGGTTGACGGGCTGCAACTCGTCGGCCAAGCATGTCCCACACGTGCTCTACTGTATTACTGGATTCAAGTCCGGTGAGAATGCTGGCCAGTCCATACGGGTGATATCCTCCGACTGAAGGCATTCGCTTACGATGTTTGCACGGTGAGAACGGGCGTTGTCATCCATAAACACAAATTGTGCGCCCATGGCCGCCCCGAAACAAACGTATATGTTGTTCCAGAATGACGTCCTGATAGATTTGGCTTGTCATGGTTCCAATTTGAACATGCAGTTCAGTTCTGGAACCCAGAACAAGTCCACCCCAAACGAGCACTCCTGAACCACCGTAACGGTGTCGTTCAATGATGTTTTCTTGGTGGTAACGGGTACCTGGAGCTCTCCAAATGAAAGTCCGGCGAGAATCAGACTGCAAGCTAAATCTGGACTCGTCGGAAAACATCACACAA